AATATATTTTGGTGTGGGCCTCTTTGGGCTTATCTTGTTTGGAGCTCTCTGTGCTTCCTGAAGTTGGATGTCTGTTTCCTTCCTCAGATTAGGAAAATTTTCATCTATTATTTCATCAAATAAATTTTCTGTCCTTTTGTCTCTCTCTTCTTCTTCTGGGACACCTAGAATCCAAATGTTAGCATGCTTGATATTGTCCCAGAGTTCCCTTAGACTGTTCCCGTTCTAATTCTTTTTTCTGTTCTGCTTGGGTGATTTCCTCTAGTCTTTCGTCTAGCTTGCTGATCCGTTCTTCTGCATCATCTACTCTGCTATTGAGTCCCTCTAGTGAATTTCTCATTTCCCGTATTGTATTCTTCATTCCTGATATTTTTTTACCTTCCAGTTCTTTACTGATGTGTTCACTGTGTTCATCCAGTCTTCTCCCCATATCTGTGAGTGTCCTCATGATATTTTGTTTGAACTCTGTCGAGTAGGTCACTTATTTCTGTTTCATTTAGTCCTTTTTCTGTGGTTTTGTCCTGTTCCCTTGCTTGGAAAGTATTCCTTTGTCTCCTCATTATGCTGCTTTCCTTGTGCTTATTTCTATGTATTAGGTGAGTTGGCTCTGTCTCCTGATCTTGGAGAAGTGGCCTTATGTATGAGATGCCTTATGAGGCCCAGCAGTGTGCTTCCCTCTTGTCACCAGTCCAGGAGATCCAGGAGTGACCCCTTTGTGGGCTACTTGTGTCCTTCTGCTGTGGCAGGGTTGCTCCCACTGCAGGTACCCAGGGAGTCTGGTTTTTCCTTCCCTGGCCAGCTGTTTTTAAATCCGGTTTGGGGAGCCTCAGCACTGTTGGCTACAATGTCTATCAGCACACTCCTATTGCAATTTTCCTCTTAATTGGGTTGGTACCCAGTGTTGCTGGTTGCTAGGCTCAGGGGTTTACAGTTGCTATAGGCCTCAGGCCTACAAGGCTGTTGTCAGTTCTCTTAGGAGTGCAGCTGAGTGGGGCTGGCCCTAGGCACAGGAACACTCAATTGTTTCAGGTTTTGGAACGTGGGGCTGATCCTTTTTATGGCTATTTGTGAAGCACAGGTCTTCTGCCACTGATAAGCCTCACCCCCAACAGGATCACACACACTGTCAACACAGTCCTGTTCCATGCAAACTTCTCAACCCCCTGAAGCGTACCCCGACGCCACACTGCAGAGGCCCCCACCTCTCCACCAATGTCCCCCACAGTTCACCTGGTCCTCACACAGGCCCTGCCCCACAGAGGCAGACACCCTTGCTTGCCTATAGAGGACCAAGGCACCAAGTCAATGCAGGCTGAAAAGTAGCCTGAGGGCTTGCTGTTAGGTGGGGCCAGTCCCTAGGGTGGGTTGCCTGCCCTGGCTGAACTGGATTAAATCTGTGCTCTAGTGGGCGTGGCAGGCCCCTAGGCTAACAGGCCCAGGGATGAACCTCAATGGCACCCACCGGGGTCTGTGTCAGCACGCCTGGACCAGTTCAGAACAATGGCCCCACCAATGTCTCAGTCTCAGGAGAGGTCCTTCCTCTCACCAAGACGCCCCCAGAGCCCACCAGGTGAGTCTCGTTTCACCAAAGGACAGTCAGCCTTCTCTCTGGTGATTTTAGTTTGCTGCGATGAGTGAGATTGTATGTGGGCCCTTTAAGACCTGGGTCTTTTGGGCTTTTGGCAGATAGCTTTTCTGGGGGTGTCCTCGCTGCAGTTAATAGCCAGGAAAGCCAGGCAGTAAGACCCCCTATTTCAGTTGGGCTGAGTCTGAAGGATGCTTATAGCAGTATTGGACCCTGCTCACGACCTCATTCCCCCAGGGAGGGCTCGTACCTTAGGGTAGCTCCTGCCTGGCCAGCTGAGAAGCTCCGCTGCTCCCAAAGGTGGCTTTTTTCCTCTCCAGTAGGAATTTCTGCCTCTTCCACCTTAGTCAGGACTGTCCTTTGTTGTGGGGGTTCTTTTTATCCAGTTTTCAGTTTTCTCTCCAGGGTAATTTTTCCAAAAATAGTTGTAACCTGGTTGTGTTCGTGGGAGGAGATGAGTTCAGAGTCTGCTTATGCCGCCATCTTAATTCGTAAGTCCCAGGCAAGGCTTTGAAAAGAGAGTAGACATTTGAATTGTGCTTTGAAGGACAGAGAGTAAGTAGTTCACCTAGAAGAGGGGAGAAGGATCATATGAGGAAGAGGGAATGGAAAATGCAGAGACATGAGACACCCTATGAGAAAAGGCTGCATGTGGGACAAGACAGAAGAGGTGTTTGGTTGGGGAGCCACCTTGCAGAAGGGTTTCTGTGCCATGCTAAAGATTTTGAAATTTATCATCCACAAAGATAGAGAATCATGACTTTTAAAGTGCTGGAATGGCATGATCAGATTTGTGTGTTAGAAATCAGTAAAGATGAGTAGAAGCTGGGAGGTTGGTTAGCCTATCACCAAGGCCCAAGTAAGAAATGATGGCTGGAAAACAGGCACCAGCAGGGGGCATGGGGAGCATAAAGGAGGGAGAGCTGACAGTACTTAGTACTTGAAAGTGGGAGGGTGAGAGAAGAGGAGGGGTACTTGCAAATCTGGTGGTGCTACAATACAGTGAGTTAGAAAATAGATGAGAGGAGCAGTTCTTTTGGGTGAAGGATGAGAACATTGAGAATGTGTTAAGTTTTGAGCCCTTTGGGTTTGAAGTAGGGTGGGGGTACAAAAGAAATAAGACTGCCCTCCAGGAGTTTCACCTGGTACCTCAGCTTTTCTTTTAAGATTCTCACCATGAACTTAGGACAAATTAGGTAACGGTGGGTATAGCTAAAGCCACAAGGGATAGAGGTCTTCTCTACTCAAGTCTTCTTCTGTTCTTAATGTGGTCTTGACCCGCACATCACCTTATGGTGACTGCTCGTCTGCCTTCCCTGCTAGAACATAAGCTCCTGAGAGCAGGGAAGTATATTCCTTGCACATAACAGACACTCAATAAATATTTGATAAATGAATTTAATTTCTTTGGGCTTAGTTTTCTCAAACAAGGAATGGGCTGATAACACCATCCTTGTGTATTCATAGGGTTAAGAGGATCAAAATGAAAATCCTTTAACATTGTACATTTTCTATTTTATTACTGTTATTTTTATTACTATTTTACTTTTAATATTCTATTCCACCAATAAGGAGAAAGGAGTGAGATTTGTGACTATGGATTGGGAAAAAGCAAATACCAGAAATATAAGCTAGTTTGCCCTACCACAGAAATCAAGGAAATAATTCAGTCATGGTATCTTTCCTGCATGATTAAAAAAAAAATTGTGATTCTTTTTTGATTGGAGGGATTTAACTTTTGTCTCAGGAAATAGAAACAGGCCTGGGTGTGACCAGAAAGTCACGTGGGACGTGGACTATTTAGACTTGGACTATAAGAATGCAGGTTTGAGGACTGTTTCTTTATATGCTATAGGGTACTAGGTTTAAGTTATCTTAGTCTCAGGTTCTATAATTGTTCATAACAGAAACTCATCCAAACAAAGCAATTTACTGGGAGTAACTTATAGTCTCCAAGAGCAGGAGGTAAGATCGGATCTCATAAGAGGTGGGTACAAGGAACTGGAAGTTAGGAACCAAGACTCTCTTCCACCTCTGGGTCTCTTATTTACACTTCTGTCTGCACATCTGCTTCTTTTTACACCCCCCTCCCCCTTAAGTTAGACTCTTCATTAGTGAACATTTGGTGGAAAATGGCTTCCTCAGGCCTAAAATATCCTTAGTTGGTGCCTACTCCCGACTGACTTCTAGTCTTGGTCCCAGTTCCAAATTCCTAGGGGGTGGAAATCATCCCAGCCTAACTTGGTTCAGGACTCCACTTCTGGTCTAGTCAGCTGTGGCAGGGAGAGGCGGGGTCATGCAGGTAATGTGAACATGGAGGCTGGGCCCACCCCTTCAGCAGAGCCGTGAGTGACAGGAATTCTCAGAGAAAAGGGAGAAGGCTAGGCTGGTATACAGATTACAAACGAGTTGCCGGTGACAGAACAGACACTTAAATGAAACCAGTTTCAGCCACACTATGCAACATCACTTTGTAGTTTCCCAAACCAGGCTGCACATCAGAAGCACCAGGAGAGCTTTTAAAAAATACAGATTCTTAGAGCTCCCACTTCCCACCAGTGAATCAGAATCTCCAGGGGTAAGACCCAGGAATCAGCATTTTTATAAAGTGCCACGATGTGACTGGCATTTCAGAACTCTTGCTTTAAGACAGGCCCAGAATGCTAAATAAACAAATCAGTAGAAAAAGGAAGTTACTCATAAATGTAGAACATTCCTACATCCAATAAACAGGGAGGTTCTTTTTGGAGAGCAAATATTTTCTTCAAAATATAGGGTTTTTTTCTCTTATTACAAAAATCAGAAATGCTTTTTCAAAAAATCTCCATTTTTGATAAGTCAGCTTTCCAGACTGTTTGCCTGAGTAGACATATATAAATATTTTTTGTTTTTACAAAAATAGGACCACAGAATATATGCCCTGTTTTGTTCACTTAAAAATAGATCATGAATGTCTTCCTGGGGCAATAAAAGCAGGTCTACTCAATTTTCAGTGGTTGTACAACATTCCAATCTCGGGATATATAATTATCCCGTTGTTGGACATGTTTCACTCTGGATAATGTCTAATAAGTGGAATTGTTGGGTCAAAGTTTACGAATTTTTAAGGCTTTTGATACATATTATTAAAGAGCTATCTGCCCTTCTACCAAGTTATATTCCCATTAACAATATTTGAGAGTACCTGTTTCTCCACACCTATAACAAGCTGGCTGGGATTTCAATTTGATTCTACCCAAACTGTACATATTCCTTTACAGTAAAACTTGCTCCTTAAATTGAATACATGATTACAGTAGAGAACTTCCATGCAGTAAGTCAAACGGCTGATAATTTACATGTATGGGGGGAGGAACTAAGAAGACTGCATTGTTCTATGGATAGTTTAAAAAATGTTTTTGAACGTCTGTTACAGGGAGAGTGGCTGGAGATAAGATGACCATAAAATCTTATCTAAGGTATGTTAAGTAGCCTTGTAATTGGAAACTAAGGTTTATAAGCTAATCAAATTAGCAGAGGGTAGAGGGGAAAAGAACATGAGGTATTCCTGCCTTGGAAGAGCAGGTGTGCTGATTTCTGGTGTAAGATCTCAATATGCTACAGTCTAAAAAGGCACAATAGGTCACAATTAGATACTATTTCATACCTACTAGGATGGCTAAAATAAAACAGACAGTAACAAATGTTGGTAAGAACGTGGAGAACCCTTATACACTGCTGGTGGGATTGTAAAATGGTGTAGCTGCTTTGGAGAATAGTCCGGCAGTTTCTCAATAAGTTAGACTTACATATTACCCAGCAATTCCATTCTTAGGTACATATTCAAGATAAATAAGAAAAGTCCACACAAAAACTTGTACATTAATGTTTATAGCAGCATTATTCATAATAGCCAAAGAAGTAGGAACTCAAACATCCGTCAACTGATGAACAGATAAATGAGATGTGGTATACTCACACAATGGAATATTATTCAGCCATAAAAAGGAATGAAGTACTGATACATGCTATAGCATGGATGAACCTTGAAAACATTATGCTAAGAAGCCAGACACAAAAGGCCACATACAATGATTCCATTGACATGAGATGTCCAGAATAGGAAAATCTATAGAGACACAAAGTGGATTAGTGACTGCTAGGAACTAGGGGGAGTGGGGAAATGGAAGTGACTGCTAATCAGTACACGGTTTCTTTTTAGGGTGATGAAAATGTCTTGGAATTAGTGGTGATGATAACTGAATATACTAAAAACCACTGAATTGTATACTTTAAAAGGGTGAATTTTATGGTACATGAATTATATTTCAGATACAATTTCTGTTTAAACGCATAAAATGGTTTCATAGCACTTGGGCGTGGGGATAAGCATTTGAATAAAGGAGTAGAAGGACTAGATTTTGAAAAGGACTCATAGGCTGTTGGGAATGGATTAGATGTCTCCTACCCCATAATTTAGGATGAGTTGTCATGTAAGTTTATTTCCCTTTAAGAAGCCCAAACTGGAGAACCTGACTACTCTAACAGCTTTGTGGTCTGTTTTAGTACAGATCTCCCTGGAAGCAGGGTTGCTGAATTACAGACTCTGGTGGGAACCATGCCAGCAGTCTCTCAGCTCCCGACTCCCCTTGTGCAGAAACCTCCCTTGTGCACAGAAGCACCTCCTCCTTGTTTAGTAATAACTGCCACAAGAACTTTGCCACTTTCTCCCAGGGAAGTAGGTTACTTTCGAGGTACTTTGGAATGGGGCAAAATGATAAACCTGTCAGATACGGTATTTACAATTGGCATTTTCTGCTCATGAAGCAGGGTTTATTATAACTAAGTATAAGCTTTATTAAATGGCAATTTTAGATCCAGATCATTAATGTGGAAAAAAATAGACTATCTTCCAATTCTCTCTGCCTGGCTTTCAAGTGTCCATATATTGAGCACCCATCTTAGCACCTATTTTGCTCATTCAGTGTTTCTGCTACAGTCACTTTAGTCTCCCAACTCTCTGGTCCACAGGAGCCTCTGGGCCTACGCTCAGGTTGTTCTTGGCTCCTGGGATCACTTTCTCTATCTCACTCACTCTCCCAATCCTACCCATCCAATCCCACCACCTCCTCAAAGCTTGTCCCTCACTAGTCTAGGCCACACTGATTGTTTCTCTGCACAAATGTGTCTATGTCACATGTCAATCTTCCTCCACTAAACTGTCAGCTCACTGAGGGGGTGTTATCTTACAATTCTGTGTTTCAGAGTAGGTGCTCAATACTATTTTCAATGGAATTAATTATTACATCCTATTTTTTATATAAGGGATTTAAAAGTTTAAGACAATTAGATACAATGAATCTTCCATCAAAATTTTGCCTTAATTATAAGGATAGCATAATTCTGCTGTAGGCCTAAACCTTTTTATACTTCCTGCTTTCCAAGTTTTCTATCATAATTCCCAAGCAATTCCTCTCCACCCAAGAATGATAATAAGAAATTACCTTTTTAAGGAGTTTTCTCTGCAAGCCAGAATCTCTGAGTTGGTCATGCATGTAGAGACCAACCATGCCCACATACACAGCCCTTTGTAAGCCGACATTGCCTTATGCTAAAAAACAGATTTCATGCTGAACTCATTACTAATGTCAGTGCCAGACAATTGGGGTCTTCAGAGAGTCTTATCTCCCAGGAAGAGAACTCCACTATCTTAATTTGAATGCTACTGTGCTATGTATCAAAGGTTTTTTTTTTTGTTTTTAACCTCACACACATAGAAAAATAGTCATCAGGCAGATCACATGTCAGTTAACTTCTTTGTGCTGCTGGAATTCGAACAGCAAAGCTCTCAATCAATTTTATTTCTCCTCACCACAATGGAGAGAAGGAAAGAGCAGAAATGGGTGGTAGGGTCATATGCTAGGAGAAAAGGGGGCTGGGATTCCACATTCATTTTGGAAACTGAGTAGGAAGAATTGCTTTCTCCAACATGCCTGGGCAGAGTGTGGCTCAAGGGAGTGGGGAGGAGCCAGACAAAATATATAGCCAGCAGTTTTCTCTTCTGAACAGTCAGCTCCTCTCAAGTCCAGAGGGCAGCTATTCCCGAGTTCCCTGGGGGGACAGCAGGAGCGTGTTCCTTTTGATGTTGAGCCCAAGTGTGCCTGTGAGCAGGTGGATGAAGATCTTGCCATCCTTTAGTCAGGCATAACACAACCTGAAGGGCTGGAGGAAGGGCTCTTATGTTCTTCCTTGCTTGAGAAGTAGAGAACCTAATGTGTACCTGGTGGTCTGCAGAGTCCTAAGCAGAGAGCTATTTTGAATAAGATATTTTTACTGCTTTCTAAGATTCCTTCTTTCATATACAAAGATTCCTTTAGTTAGGTTCTCTGTTATCCTAAGTGCTCTTCTTCGGTCATGAGCAGGTAAGGACCTATTTAGCCAAGGTAAGTAGGCTGCCTCAGAACTTCCCATAGGGAAAAGTGAAGTCTGATTCTTCTCCTTTTTTCACTTAGTCTCTAGGTTGAGAACTCCAAGTAGGAAGAGACACAGGAGAAGGATGGGAGAGATTGAGCCTTTTTGAGAGTCGACTCCTCTGCTGAATGCCACTTTGAAGGGAAGGAAGAAGTCGAATGGCAATTTCCAGTCCATTCTGGGTTGGCCCCTTGGAGGCTCTGGCTTCTGGGTAATGTCCACAAAGGTCACAACAGTTGTCAAAGATACTTCTGTTACTTGTTGGGAATCCTGCAGGAAGAAAGTCCATGACAGGTCAGTGCTTGGTACTCATTCGTATAGCCCTCCAACTTGACTTTTATTATTACTTTCCCTGAAGAAAGACCAAAACCAAACTGCTTAAGCAAGACATACCCTTTTCTCATGTTGTTCATATGCAGTTCTCTTTCTATCATATACAAGGAAATGAATTTCTAGGCAGCAGTCTATGACACCAGAACTGTGAAGTTACACCTACCCAAAGATTGACTAGCTTCCCCGAACCAGGGAGTTGCCTGATATCAGAGAAGCCAGATGGCAAAACTGCTGCTGTGACATGCTTAGCAGCTGTGCTTCATCAAGTCCCCGAGGGCTCCAGGCTCTGAAAGAGCACATATGCACTAGTGGATGTAGTGGTGGCAATTCCCTTCCTTCTTCCATTGCAGAAAGAACTGTGAAATTTCATAGAAGACACAAAGAACCCAGTAATGTTGATAAAAACCCCATCAGATTCACAGAATCTCAAGGTGAGAAAGGATCCTCCCAAACATCTACCAATTCCAGTCAAATAAAACAGATGCTCCCAGAAGAACGGACCTTGTCAAACTGACTCAAGTATCTGACCTAGTAGACATAGCTTTTGGTAGATATGTTTGCAGCTTGATGACTGGAACATGTTTATCTAAAATGAATTCCCTTTGGTCTGACTCTAGGCTTACCAAGCAAATGTCTGATTATAATTTGACAGTAAATAACTATCTTGTTGAACCAGAAATGAAGGTTTTCTCTATTCACCTTCCTTCACTCTGATGCCACATATTATCTGCTATGGTCCTTGGCATCAATAAATAACAAATTCTGGGAACATAATTTTGCCTGGAATAAGCTTTCTAGGTACCTTTTTTTTTTTTTTTTTTTTAAAGATTTTTTTTATTTTTTCCTTTTTCTCCCCAAAGCCCCCTGGTACATAGTTGTGTATTCCTCGTTGTGGGTTCTTCTAGTTGTGGCATGTGGGACGCTGCCTCAGCGTGGTCTGATGAGCGGTGCCATGTCCGCGCCCAGGATTCGAACTGACAAAACACTGGGCCGCCTGCAGCGGAGCGCGCAAACTTAACCACTCGGCCACGGGGCCAGCCCCGGTACCTCTTTTTTTATCCTGGGTGTGGGGCCAGTGCTGTGATAATCTTGCATGTTACATTAACTCTTTGGATTCTTTTTTTAAACAGTGAAGCTCATGAGGGACTTGGCATAGAACTAATGTAACTTCTGAGGCACTGAAAAAAACCACACGCATTCCAAGGACAGCCTGCTTAGGCTGAAGCTGCTGAGGGAATCCTGATTCCAGCCAGGCATGGAAGACTGGCTGAGATGAACCAGACAAAAAAAATGGGGAGGAGTTTATTACTTAAGAGTAAGTAATAAACTTTCTTTGGAGTTTAACTTACAAAAGGATTTACTGTTAAGACTTTAATTTTTTCATAGGACCGTTAAAATGGGGAGAGTATAGTCAATTTTTGTTTTGTTGTTTTTTTTTTGAGGAAGATTAGCCCTGAGCTAACTACTGCCAATCCTCCTCTTTTTGCTGAGGAAAACTGGCCCTAAGCTAACATCCGTGCCCATCTTCCTCTACTTTATATGTGGGACGCCTACCACAGCATGACGTGCCAGGGCGGTGCCATGTCTGCACCCAGGATGCAAACCGACAAACCCCGGGCCACCGAAGCAGAACGTGCACACTTAACCGCTGCGCCACTGGACCAGCCCAAGTATACTCAATTTTTGAAGTAAATCTCTGAAGTTGACATTATTGAAAGCATGTTAATATTGTTATTTAATCTGATTACAGAATGCATTCTGTGTATTGGCTGGGATGGCTGGAAAAACTTTGGGATGGGAAATAGAATAGGGAATTAATTTTCAGCCTTGTGCTCAGCTCAGTGTTGTCCAGAAGTTGATTTAATTAATGTGCTGTTCTGACTATTTCAGAGCCTTTGAAGGAGGGCAAATTTTAAACTGTCCAGTAGCAGTCCCAGGAGGATACCAAAGGAGCTGTGGTTAGAACTGGGATAGTGGTCTTGTGATGGAAGAATGTAGTTTTGCATTAAGAAGCCCACTGCTACGCACCCAAGCCACATCCACCTACTTAGCGTTTCTTAGGAATAAAGCTGACATTGTTATCTCTATCTGTCTGATTCCTTTTAATTGGTTTCAAACTCGGGCAGGGAAAAGAGGAGTGTCATTAGCTCCCTCAAACTCCAAGACTAGGGAATGTCTGGTGGCTTGAGGTTAGCCTATACTCAGAACTGACCTCTAAGATAGCTATGAGCACAAGAAGGCAACCTTTAGGCCCATGTCTACTCAAATATATATACATATATATGTATTCAATGCCCGGGAAACCCTACCTGATAAAAGTTTTTTTTGAAGAGAATTGTTTTTTCAGATTCACCCAGGATATAGGCTCATCAAGAGCTGCTACTAGACTTGATTTTAAGATGACAATGGAAAGATATCTTGTCCCTATTTATCTCAAAACCACTCCAATCCAATAAGAAACAGATACAAAAACCGCCATCTTCACTGAAATGGAGAGACATCACAATATGTGAATACAGAAAGCAGATGGAAGCAAGGTTTCACAGAGGGAAAGAATGCCAAACCTAAAAGCCTTCAGAGACTAGAAACAAGCAGATTTCTGTGGGACCCTGAAAGACTAATAGGATATAACAGAGAAGCAGGGATGAGGTGGGGACAGAAAATGGTTACTGAATGATAGCCCCTGGCCTACCTTATATTTCAGAGTTCCCCTGAAGATTGGGCTAATGCTAGATACTGTTATAATTTGTCAAATTTATAATTGTATAATTTATCAAAATAATGCATATTTTTTAAGTGAAAAAATGCCAGAAAAGAGGATATCAACAAAAAATAAAGTCCTATATCCCCCCTCACCATCCTGCTCTGCAGAAATTACCTTTTTAGCTCTTTTACTATTTCTTCTGATATTTACCTCAATTTCTAAGCAATACTATACTGTTACCTCTTGAACCATGTGTTAAGTTTAGTTCTGTTATTCTCCTCCTACCCCTCCCATCACTCTCCCAATGTAATTATATCAAAATATTTTATTAAATTAATATGCAAACTAAAAACCTATCCATCATCCTTGACTCATTCTCCCTCAACATCCACATCCAAGCCATCAAGTCCTACCTGTGACACTCCTAAATCCTCTCAACTCTGTCTACTTCCTGCAGGCCTCACAGCCCGACCCTGGCTCAGGCTATTAACATCTCCTGGTGAATTTCTAGAACCATGCTGTAAACTTCACTTCGGTATGGCTCCACACTTTCTATAACAGCAGGGATGACGGCTATCTTTGTTGAGTGTTCTTTGTCTTTCTTAGTATACTGCCTGTTTAATTATGAGATTGTGGCAGAGGTTCTTGGCCTGGCTTCAAGAAATCAATAAATCCCTTGAAACTATGTAAAGAACGTTATGTGTCTATGCACTTTTCTAGTAAGTGAATAGCTTTCAACAGATTGTCAATGGGGTCTATAAGATTAAGAACCACTAAGAAGACTGGCAGATATTGGCAGTTTTTCTAGCATATGCTGTTTGATTGATACATAAAACGCTGCCAACTTTCAATTATAATGAATAAAAGGCATTTATTAAATAAAACAATATAATTAGCTTTGAAATGTAGTCAGAAATGTATTCTCTAAAATTGTTTTTTCGAATTGCAGATTGTGACCCATTAATGTCTAGTATTTTAAAAAAACAGAATAACTACAATAGAAAATATCATAGAGTACATTGCATAAAGATACTGTCTTATAAAACTTTTATTTCAGTTTTATACATGTGTGTGTTTTAAGCTGGGTTGTGTGTAAAATATATTTCCTATCATGGGTGATAGCCAACAAAGGTTGAAAAACACTGCTCATCTCTTTTGTGTTTTGCTTTAAACCTTCTTGATACGCCACTTCCATGGAAAGTTAGAAGCAAAAAAGTTATGATAAAAGTAATAATGATGATATGATGAGCAATATTTACTGAGTGTTCACTATGTGCCAGGAGCTGTGCTAAGTGTTTTACTTTTATGATCTCACTTACTCTGTACAACCCAATGAAGTATTATTATTAATATCAATTTTAGAGATGAGAACACTTAGATTTAGAGAAGTAAAATAACTTGATTTAGACCTAGGTCTGACTCAAAACGCATGCTCTTAATTACCACCCTAAACTGCAGGCAACAGGTCTCCTAGATAATCTAAAAAGCTTGAGGATTCACTTAAAGATAAAGATGAATTGATATTATTGTGGAAAGGGTTCAGAGCTTTGATCCTGTGATGCTACACTGTTCTTTACACTCACTTATTATTTTCATTTTAATTGATCCAGAATATTCTGTAAAACTAGTTGTTTCTTCCTAGAGATATATTTTCTTTTTTAAATTAAAAAGTTTATATGCAGACAGGAGACAATGTATTTTATCAATCCTCAAACTTAAAGGTCTCTTTAAGGGCCCAATTAGTATAAAATTATAAGCAGCAGAGTATCATGTAAATAAATCCTATTTACTTCAGGAGTTTGTCGTGCGTATTCAACACTTATTAAACAACACATAAAAATACTACCAATACCTGTCGCATAGTAAATGTTCAATGCATGTTTAGCTATTATTTTATCATACAAGACGACAGGGAAGTCTAGACAGTGTTTTGCTTAATTCTACCCTACTTTGTAGTCTGTCCTTGGGAACTTTCCAAAATTTTGCTACTTCACTTTTTATAGTGAGAGGAATGTAAAGTGTTTCTAAAGCTACAACTACACAATGAAAAGTCATTCAGACAGTTCAGTCTAAAATTCAACTGACCATCTAACAGCTTGATTTCAGGGTTCATAAACACAATTGCCTACTGGCCTAAGCTGATAACCTGAATGAGAGAAGTGGGATGGCTAAGGGTGGGTAGGCATAGGGTGTGTGAATGGGGTACTCTATTTAAAAGTGGAAATCACCATCAGTGACAGGAGATTTTATGCCATGTAGGAGTGGAGGATCTCTATTGCCAGATCTTCAAAAGAAGTTAGAAATCTGGATGTCAAAGTGAAATTTCCCGATCTTTAAGTGTTGGCACAAATTTAAGAAACAAAACACTTTGTAGGCCAAACAAAACAAGTCTATAGGCTATATAAAGCCCATAGGCTGCCAGTTTGCCACCCAGCTTTAGTTTTATGCCATTACTCAGACACATGAAGCTGAGTGACATAGCCTAGGTGAGACCATTATCAACCACAACCTTTCAAAGGGTGGCCAGAAGGGGAGGGAGAAGAATTGTAGAAGATATGCCTTCAGCAAGTGTAACTCCTCTTTTCACTTTAGAGGCTCTTGCTGTTCTGAGAAAAAAATTTCACAGGAAGTCCTGAGACACAAGCCCGTGTGGATAAGGGAATTGATTAAAGTTAAAGACAAATAATTAGTATAAACGCATAAAGAAAAAGTATGTTTATGTGACTTCAGGAGAAAATTTCCATTCAAGATTGAAGAAATAAAAAAAATCTTTCAATACAGATACTAAAACTCTCTCTTTATTAGAGAAAGAAATACTTTGCTTAACTTTTGTGATCTGACACTATCATTTCATAACTCCTTTTACTTTTACAGGGCCTGGCATCTTTAATGGAGGTGAGTTTCTCAAGTCAACCCTTAAAATAAAAATTTCTGTGTAATCAAAATTAGCTTTGCAAATCCTTTAAATGACCCTAAGTAAATGAACATGATTTTGTATATACCATACCACCTCTCAATAAGTTCAAAACAGCTAATTTTTACTCCATCATTGGGACAGATACTGTTTCTTCAGTGAGCAGGAATGAAGCAAAGCTGAAATTCTCAATTGTCAACCACTTAGGCCAGTTAGATGTGAATGACTGTAAAATGTGATTTTGTAGAGGGGGCAAGCTAGGCTGAAAAGCTAACCTCTACTAAATACTACAAAAAGACAATGATTAAAATATCTAGACAAGAAAGGGGCACTGGGTAGCTTTAATGGCTAAGAGAACCAGAGATCTGGGAAAATAAAAAGAAGAGTCCTATGGGTATCTTCCCAAACTACACAGGTACTCATAAATAAAGATACAGTTAAGAAAAATATAACAATGGATTCACTGCAGGATCTGTAACAGATTCAATGAGTCTTATAGAAATAGTTCTGTTTTATTCACTAAACCAACACAGAGAGAGCATGGTATGTTCTCAGTAACACAGTTTCTAATAACCTGAATTTTAACCCAATTTATAGGCACAGAGAGCTAAGGTGCTCAACCTTGTTGTAAGGAAGAACTAAAGGTATTTTACTTTTGACCTAAATGTAGTCTCTAGTTTATTTCTTTGCTGGGATGTAAATGCAATGACTTAAAGTTAATAATGTCAATAGTTTTAATTTTCATTAAAAATTAATAAAGTGGCATACCAGTTTATATAAGAATCAGTTTACCAGGACCTACTCATTTCTGTTTTTGAACTTCTAAAGCTAACAATTAGGTTCTAAAACCAAGGCTGATGCTAAATCTATCCTAAGGTACATCATAGACAATTGGTATATGTTTACTCCATATTAAAATTATTTATTTTAATGGAGCACAATCAACCAAGAATTGATGACTACAAACTTGTCACAGCAGTAACTTTAACAGCAATGAACAGGCTCAGAGACTCTGATAAGTCTGTAACTGTCACACTGAATACACAGTTATGGAAAATGTTTTCCGTAGTTGAATCTACAAGTATAGTAATACTAGTATGATAATTTAAAAGAAATTAATCTACACCTTAGTCTGGGTTCAGGAAATTTCAAAAAAACTGGAGGAAAAAAGGACATAGATTGTATTCACCATGACAACATGCTAATTTCAGTAACCAGGCAGGCAGGATAGACTTGAAAGTTAATTGTGTCAGCTCACTCTAACCAAACATTGGCTGGTAGCATAAACTGGCTCTCAGAAGTTAAAAAACGATCTGGGCATCAAATGGCTGACAAGACAATCATGGCTTTGCAAGGCTTAGTGGTCCTTTATGAGACATGACTTACCTGTATGGACTGGCATTGATACAGGAATCGGGCTCCTGACACATGAGCTTGTGGGTTGGACTGGAGGCCTATATATGCCCACAATACTTGGATCTCCAGGGCAATGGGTATGACACAGCAGGAAGTACAATGCAGAGCCTGCAGAAGGGTAAAGAAGCATCTGCTTGAATTGCTGATAGTTGCCTATAGTCAGCCACCATGCATTTAGTAGCCATTGTTTCTTAAACATTATACAATAGCAGAGAAGGCAATGTGGTTTACAGAAAGAACACAAAGTTCACAACAGACTAATTATTGTTTTTGGTCTTTAAAAAATTATTATTCTAAAATGGAAATTACTAATATAGAGATTAATAAAATATGAGCCCATGTACAATGGTTATAAGAAGCACTCAGTGAGCAAGGCATAGTCAACATTGTAGAATGCTGGAAGAAGAAACAGCAATTTCTGGTTGAGGATGGCTTCATGGAACTGGGATGAGAGTAATATGTGACTGGGAGAAATGATGATTAAAGGAAAATTCAAGGAAGAGAGATGGCATATAAACAGGTGTGCAACTGGAACAGCATACAATGCCATGGAGGAACATTCATTGCCTAATTTGAATAATAGTGAGAGTGCCTCCTACGTGCTAGGCACGTTTAAGGCACTGGCCTTGAGCAGACCATTTGGCTGAAGCACAGATCTGAACACGGGAGCAGTGAAAGGTTAAGGAATAAGACATCTCAGGGTTAGATTATGAAGTCCAACCAAGTAGTCTGACTCTAGGAGGATTAACTGCAAGATGCAGGAAGGATTGATAGAGGTAAGGACATCAATCAGGAGGTTAGTATAAATTTAGCAGGTGCAAACTATCCTCAAATATGCCTGTATTTTTCTAGCTTCATACTTTTTTATAGTAAGGTTCAGATACAGGCAATAATACATGTAAAGTAGGAATGGGGGAGACAGACCATGATTATGTTTATTAAGAAACTGTCAAACTGTTTTGAAAAGCGGCTTCACCATTTTGCAGTCCTGCCAACAATGTCTAAGGGTTCCCATTTCTTCATATCCTTGCCAACACTTGTTGTTGTCTATCTTTTAAATTATAGCCATCCTAGTCAGCATAAATTGGTAGCTCATCGTGGTTTTACATTTCTTTAATGGATAAGGATGTTGATATTTTTTCATGTGTTTGTTCTAAATATTTTTAAACACTTTTCTTTTCATTTATTCTACATTAGGAACATTTTTCCACATCATCAAATGTTCTTCAAAAAAGGGATTTAAAAATATAAATAACAATTTTAAGAACAATAAAGAGTAGTTCCACTATAATCTCAATCCTTATCACTAACCATCCCCTTTCTGTGCTTAGCCAAAACCCCACTCCATATGGTACGGCTATATTTGAGGTTTAAGAGAACTCAATTTGACTTCAGTTGCCCAAAGGCTGGATTGAGTACCTCTTTACTTATCCATCCAAATCTCCTTAAAAGAGAAAGAAGTATATAAGGAATAAAGTTGTAATAGTGCTGAGAAGGGAAAAGGGGCACTTTAAAAATAATCTCTAAGGGGACAGCCTTTCAAAGTCTGAAACAAAACTCAGGGGTAAAAAAAAAGAAAGATTGATAAATTTCACAACATAAAAATCAATTTATGCATTGCAAAAAACACCATAAACAAAGTCAAAAGACAAATGGGAGAAAAGCTTCTGCAAATCGTACTACAGAAAAGAGCCCATTTCTCAAATCCATAAAAGAGTTCCTACAAGTCATAAGACCAGTAATTCAATAAAAATGGGCAAGAGATATAAATAGATCATAGTGAAGAAAATACAAATTGTTCAACCATATGCCAAGATATTCAACCTTACTCATAGTAAGAGAAAAATAAAACTATACTAGGATGATATTTTTCACTTATCAGATGAGTAAAGATGAAAAAGTTTGATAACAGTGTTGATGAGAGAGTATATGGTAATAAGCCGTCTCACGTTTGGATGAGGAATTGTAAACTGGTAAACCTGCATGGGGAATAAATTGACAATATTTATTAAAATTTTAAAAGCTTATACCCATTGATCTAGCATTCTGCTTCTAGGATTTATGATATAGGTTTAGTCTTACACGTATGAAATGGTGACTGACCCAGGTTATGAAATGCCATATTGTTTGTAATAGCAAAAGACTAAAAATAACCTGAATGTCCACCAATAAAACCGGTTAAATAAATTATGGTTCATCCATATAACGGAATATTATAAAACTATACTATGCAAAGAATGCGGAAGCTTATAATGTACTGATGCAGAACAAACTCTTACAGCAAGTGAAAATAGCATGGTGCAGAGCAGAGTTTATGCCATTATATCATTTGGGTAAAAAAAAGGACTATGAGAGCATTTACTCGTGTGAGCATGCAATATCTCTGGAAGGAAAGAAACTAGTAACTTCAGCTGCCTCTGTGGAAGAGAAGAGCTATCTGAGAGAGTGATTTTTATTTTGTACTTTTTGGATTTTTGAGTCAAGTTTATGTATTACTTATACAGAAAAAGAAACAAAAATTCAAATGAAAAGAAAATTAAAAGTACAGCTGAATAAAATCAGGAAGTAGGGGGTAAACAAAAGAGGAAGAAGACAGAACAGCAGAGCAAATGTCCTTATTTTACTCATACCTGCATGCACTGATCTAGCGGGCCACCAGAGAGAGGAAAAACAGAAACAGCTGAATGAGGTTACTTCTGGGGCGGAGGGTGTTGAGATTTTTATTTTCATTTAATACCATTCTATATGGTTTGAATTTTTAACCTGTTGATGTATTCATACATAAATGTAAATGTAAAAATGTAAATTTTTATAACAACAGAAAGAATACAATTTCAACATCAAAGAAAGAATCTGACCAAATATTTAAGAATATAACAGACTATTTGAAATATACGATGTGACCTTGAACCACAGAGTAATCTCTAGATTTTCTAACTTAAATTTTTTCTCCAAGTAAGGAAAATAAGTTAGGTGTAAACCTACCCAGAAATAATAATTTCAAACGGACATGATTTCTTACATTCTTCCTTTATGACAACCACATTTTCCTTCTATAACAACCACAACATCTATGGAAAAAAGGCCGTTTTTTTTTTTTTTAAAGATTGGCACCTGAGCTAACAACTGTTCCCAATCTTTTTTTTTTTTTCTGCTTTATCTCCCCAAATTCCCCCCCAGTACATAGTTGTATATCTTAGTTGCAGGTCCTTCTAGTTGTGGCATGTGGGATGCTGCCTCAACGTGGCCTGATGAGTGGTGCCATGTCCGTGCCCAGGATCTGAACCGGTGAAACCCCAGGCCACCGCAGCAGAGCACTCAAACTTAACCACTTGGCCACAGGGCCAGCCCCAAAAAGGCTGTTTTTAATTTTAATATCTATAATTTACAAACAGAGGGAGAAAGTGAGTCTCAGTCAGAAAGTCTATTTCTCTCCTTACTGAAACACTGCAGTTCCTGCTGAGGATCCTGGTCCACTCTCCCTTCTGGGCTGGGTCAGCATTACCAAAGATGGCAACAAGCTCTGGTCTGGGTCTTCCGTGAAGCGTCTGATAAATCTCCTGCTGCAAGTGGCTGCAGTCCATCTTTCTTAGCCTGAAATGAAACACCATGGAGGCCGGAGTTCAACACTAACATAATAATGTAACCATATTAGTATATTAATCTAAATGTTAGAAATAATATTATAAAATAAATCGGAGGCACTAATCCTTAGTAGGTATAAAGGACTGTCAGAAGACTCTTAGCAATATTATAAGACTATAAGATTATATTTTATATATTTTTATATATAATATATATTATATATAATATATATTTATATTTATTTATATATTTATAAATATATATTTATATATAAATTTATATTTTATTATATAAATATAAATTTATTACATATTATTTATATATAAATATATATTTATATTTATATATTATAAGATTATATAAGACTTATATATAAGATTTATATATATTATAAGGTTATATATTATAAGATTATAAGACTATTTATTCCTCACTAGCATTCTCTGAACTTCCATGTAAAATACAAAAGTTGCCATATTAACATATTCCCTACAGACAGGGACAAAATTGTGGGAAATGATGGGGAAGCAAAGAATTACCTGTGCTTGCATCCAGATATTGCATTCACTCCAAACTGTACTTCGTGTCTCTTAACAGAGCAAGTTCCATCACCCTGGCTCTGCAGGAGGGTCATCTGAGGTGGAAAGTGATGGTCAAGGAGATCACAGAAACAAAGGAGGCAGACTGGAAAATTTATGTTCTTATTGTTTCCTTAACACTATATATATTTTATTAATATCACTCAATTCACAAATTTTTTCCTCTGGTAATTAAAAAATACACAGAGCAATTACTGTTTTTTCAAAAATTGTTAATCATATACCAGCATACAAATATCTCATTAAAACAAACAAAAATCGGTAACAGTCCTCACCTTTGGCCAGTCTAACATAAGGCTTAAAGTCTTTGGTAGTATCAACATTTGCGAACATACCATATTAATGGTTTGGAAAAGGAAGTCCTGAATACCTAAAAAATAGGGGAACCTCAGGAATCGGAAAATCCAAAAGATTAGCAGCCGCAGCTTCTCTCATTGGGCTGCAACAACTCACCCAGCTCCAAAAAGGATACTGAGTGCCTTATATCACTGGTTAGAGCCAAAAGCGGCTTCCCAACAATATAGCCAGGATTCCCACTTCTAGGCCTAGTAAGAAAAGCAGCTGTGCTCTGTGGAAAAGCCTGCAGAAAGAGTGAAGGAAAGTCAGTTATGGAGAAAAGCACGCTCCCCACCTTCCGCTGCTTGGCTGCACACCCTTCCTCGAGGAACTGCGGTAGGTTAGCTGCACTGAACAGTCTGGCTTCCTTCCACAGCGGAGCACGTTGCAGAGATTTCTACTCCAGTGCTTCTTTTCCTTTTTGTTATTCACTAAAATAAATTCTGAGTGATGTCAATATTGAAATTCACTATATGCTACCAAGGATTACAACTAAGGTTCTAACGATGATCCCTCAATGCTGTTTCTCAAAAATTATAATCAATTTAGGGCTTTGTTCAGCCTGGCTGAAACCAGAGGAATTTAAATGTAACTTTAAAAGTATATTTTAATTAACTATCAAAGTTTCAGAGATGAACTCTGAGAGATACAGGACTTTAGTTCATCATCTGAGGGTAGAATTGAGAAGAAACTGGACTCTGTTGGGTTCAAAAAAGAAGAAAGAAGTAGAAGAAAGCCAAAAGATGGTGATCAAGACTGGAAACTTAGATTAAGTGGGAAGTAAATAAGATGCTGAATGCCCAGAAATACAAGAAAAGCCAGTTAAAGAAGTTCCATGGGATGTTGGCTGAGTTTATGATTCAAACTGACCATTTAAAAAAAGAGTTTGGACTTGAGACTGCAGCCCTGCTTTGCTGGGGACCAGATAGAGAATCAGAGAACTTGTTAATGAATAAACAAAGATAACTCTGTATCACTTGCAGTTAAATTAGGGAATATTAATTGTGGAGGCTAGGCCTTGATACTCGTGTTACGGAAGCAGAGGAACTATTGCCCCCCCTCTCGATCCCCTGCAGGAGAAGGGCCCTACCCTGAAGCGCGTGATGAAGTGCTGCTGCAAGGCAGTTCCTGGCTCAACAGTCAGGTTCGTCTGTCCAAAACTGACAGAGACTTTCTGGATTCCCAAAGTCCCATTGGTCTCTATCTCATAGATGACCTGAAATACAAAAGTAGAAGCAATTAATAAAAATTATTTAGTGGGCTAATTATGTTTAGGACAGAAGATTTCCTGTCTTTCAGGGTTTTATTACAACTGAATGAGAGTACAGCATGGTGACTACAGTTAACAATACTGTATTGTATATTTGAAAATTGCTAAGAGAGTAGATCTTAAAAGTTCTCATTGCAAGAAGAAAAAATTTATAACTATATGTGGTGATGAATGTTAACTAAACTTACTGTGGTAATCATTTTGCGATAAATACATATATCAAATCATTATGTTGTACACCTAAAACTAATACAATGTTATATGTCAATTATCTCTCAGTAAAAAAATAACCGAATGAGGGAGACTAAAAAAGAAATCTTAAAAATGCCAAACACAAATACCCTGAAGAGATAATGTTGATTTCATATTATATCTACACGTGAAAGAAGAGACTAGATAGACTTCTTTGAAAGGGTTCATGGGAGAGGTGAGTTTACAGTAAGAATTGAAAGGGAAGAAAAGTAAGTTTTGTTTGGGTGCAGAGGTGAGTAGAAGCACAAGCAGAGGTGAGAATGGAATGGAAACTTGGTTTACTTGGCTCTCACAATGTCTGAGGATGAATAAAGATAGTAGCTGGAGGTGGAAGTCATAAACAACTGAAGGTAACCTTAGATTTCTGAGCACAGTCTTTAAAATGATAATTCTTAATTCTGTGGGTTGACTGAAAGAGAGAGAAGAGACCAAAAGAAGTTGACTAGTCTATTTCATATTTTCAGATGATACTGACTTTGTCAACAGAAGAAAATGTGGTCAGTAAAAATCTATTATAGACTGCATATGGGTAAAAAAAGAGGAGTCAGAAATAATGTTCTGGACATGAAATACCAGAGGACTGTAGCAATGGAAATGACTGCAACATGGTAGGGAGAAAGGTAATGAGCTCAGTTCTTGACATGTTAAGTTTCAGGTAATGCACATAAATTCACATGGGGCTGGTCTGGTACTTAATGGAAGATGAGGCACCTCTGGTAATGTTGATCAACATACATCAGTCCAGAATCTGAAGTCAGTGTCCCTACCTGGGAAACAACATTCTGACAAGTGTTTCCAGCCAACAGAGGAGAGCCAGGCTGTGACTGTGAGACAAGTGTTACAGGAACCTGGAACTAGCAAGGGAAAGAAGCAAATCAACTAAAATAGAAAATAGCACACTTTGTCTTCTAGCTACATATCATGCTGAAATGAGTATTTTTCATTCTCGACCATCACCTTTTTTCTTTCCTTCCATTGCCAGCCTCCTAACTTAAGTTCAAAACTCATTCTAAATCAGCACTTCTGAAAACATATTTCTCAGAACATTAATTCTATTAGCTATACAGGTTCCATGGTCAAATAAGTTTTAGAAATACTATATTCGACACTCCCCTCTTAGAGATTAACAAGGCCCTCTAGCATATTAGACTCTAAGAAATCCACCCTAAAATACCATGTTGAACTTTATTTAACCCAATGTTTCCCAGACTTATCTAACACCTTATGAATTCTTATTTCATACGTTTATTAATCATATGGAAAAATCATTGTTTTAGATTCATATTTAACAGTTTGATACATCACACATACATTTTCTTTCACCATTACAATCTAGACCGAAACTGCCTCAGATGCAAAGGGACCAAATATTATATTTTCTTTCCTTTTTCCTGATGAATAGCATCATACCTTCATATTCTGCAGATCAGTCATACCTCTTGGAACCTAGCATAAGAAAACAGCAGGAACATGAGTGTAAACATATCTTACGTAAAATCTCCAGGAGCTTGTGGTTTCACATTTGGGGAGATACAATCAACATATTAGAACGATTCACTTCCTATCTTCTGACTCTTCCTCACACTAAAATGCCAGAAGCAGAGCTGAGAGGAGGTTGGATGAACTGTGATGCCCACCTACTCTGAGCAGAGCTCTATCAAAAAGCAAAAGCAAACGTTTTGGTGAAATAATAGATGTCACCCCCTCCAACTCTACGTAGCCAATCCCATTAGCCAGGAGGGCGAGAATCTCTTTTCCTGGCTATATAGCCCTGATTCTTTCATCTTTCTTCAGATGATAGGGTTTCCAGGCCCTCTGCCTTTTATCTAACTCTTGGGCATTCTGACTTCTAGTTCAGTGCTTTTTCCACAACCTAACAGTGGGAAGCATGTCAACTTTAAATCCACAGTGGCGACAGTGGGGAGAGAAGGGACACCCACCTTCAAGACTGTGAAGTTATAGTAGGAGGCAGCATTGAGGGCTGGGTCCAGGGTACAGCTATTTGCCAGGTTCTTGAAGAAACGAGCACAGGTTGTACTTTTACTTTCCAGGAAACCTTAGAACACAAAGAATTAAGTGAGTGGTAAATGAGAGAGCCTATTTTTTTTTTAAATTTATATATATATATATATATTTGTTTATTTATGTAAGCAAGATATGCCAATTTATTCTCTAAAACTCTGTCTTACAATACCATGTGTTCTTCATATCAATATCTATAAAACACTTTTTTCTCTCCCAGTGTCATATCTTTCTGTAGTCTTTTCATAGATTTATGCATATTACTTTTTGAATGTTTATAGATATGTCTGTTTATAACATGCAAAAGTTTGTAAAAGGAATTCCAAAGTATCAATAGGACAAAATAAAGGCCCAAAACACAACTATATACTTATACATATGTATATATATGTATATGCATGTATCAAATGATTATCTGTGGGACAGCACATTTGGGAAAATTGTTTGGTATAGTGCATCTAAGATGATGTAGACACTCGAGTTCTTCATATTTGGAATACATCTGGATCTTAGTGAATCCATTTAGTTTAGTATTCTATCAAGCAAGATATACTGAGATTTAATTACCAGTATTGGGTATCTTAAATTACTCTTCTTTTGGAATTATTCATATTTTAAAGATTCAGACTTGATCCCTCATTTTTGAGATGTGATTAATTGGAATCCAGCAGATTGTTAAATGCTATTTTCTTAATTACATAAAATTTTGTTTAAGTGTTGAAAAGCAAGCCCACAAACTCCTTATGAGTTAGAAGCATATGGTTTAAAAATATTAGGTCCCAGGGGGCTGGCCCAGTGGTGTAGTGGTGAAGTTCACGTGTTCTGCTTTGGAGGCCCAGGGTTCACAGGATTGAATCCTGGGCGCAGACCTACATACCATTCATCAAGCCATGCTGTGGTGGCATCCCACATACAAATTAGAGGAAGACTGGTGAAGATGTCAGCTCAGTGACAATCTTCCTCAAGCAAAAATAGGAAGATTGGCAACAGATGTTAGCTCAGGGCCAATTTCCCTCACACACACAAAAATATATATATTTGGTCCCAGAAGAGTGGAATATATTAGGTCAAGTTGTCTGCCTAAATTCACATAAACTATTTAAGACAAATTAATTGTTTTTCTTAAACTTTTCTGGTTTAGTAGTTCTCTATCTTTATTTGGTAAGCCTGCCCAGCATTTAAGTAGTATTTAGAAGCTAGTCTTCCTTTCCAGGGTCTTATAGGCCATTTAGTTCCTAGCTATATTGGCCTGACAACATCACACTCACCCCCTAAGAATCACCCTAGCATACAATCAGAATTGGATTTATACTCTATAGTACCTTGGTTACAATATTGAGTCTGAGTCTTATGATCCGTCCTGAGGGAGAAAACTTATTTTATTTTTTATTTATTTATTTTTTTGAGGAAGATTAGCCCTGAGCTAACATCTGCTGCCAATCCTCCTCTTTTTGCTGAGGAAGACTGACCCTGAGCTAACATCTGTGCCCATCTTCCTCTACTGTATATGTGAGATGCCTGCCACAGCATGGCTTGCCAAGCTGTGCCATGTCCGCAACCGGTATCTGAACTGGCAAACCCTGGGTCGCTGAAGCATAACGTGCAAAACTTAACCACTGCGCCAGCGGGCCAGCCCAAACAATTTTTTTTTTTTGAGGAAGATTAGCCCTGAGCTAACATCTGCCACCAATCTTCCTCTTTTTGCTGAGAAAGACTAGCCCTGAGCTACCACCTGTGCCCATCTTCCTCTATTTTATGTGGGATGCCTGCCACAGCATGGCTTGACAAGCAGTGCATAGGTCTACACCCGGGATCTGAACCAGTGAACCCTGGGCCACTGAAGTGGAACATGCAAACTTAACTGCTGTGCCACTGGGCCAGTCCCAAGAAAACTTACTTTAAATTGAATAAAAAGGCTGGCACTTCTGCTTTGGACTCACCGGCAGGATTGCTCTCAGCACAGAGGCCCCCAGCTCCAACTCCTGCAGGCTGCCTCAGTAAGCTTATGACAGACCACTTGGGGAAGTAAGTCAGAATGGGGTCCCCAGCCTAAACAAAGTACAGCAGAAATTTATTCACAATGAGACTGGGCTGAACTCCACTGAAAAAGAAAAAGTGGAAGCAAAAGTTAACTTGACAAGTTGTTAATGTGGACAATACTGCCCTCCAAAAGAGTGAACAATAGTGCACTTAGTTATAGGTGCGTACCTAAAGATACCTGATCAGTTGTTGGCTATGAGGGTAAAACCAAACCAAACAATTCTGCCCCCTCCGCAGGCTCACCCTGTAGAAAGGTGCTGGCGACTGGTTTTGGAATGTTGAAGTGAATGATCTGCCTCCAAACTCTGTAGCCAGGGCCTGGAAGTTGGTTGCATTGACCTTTTGGAGCTTCTGGAAATAGTTTAATTTTGCTAAAATATTTTTAAAAAGAAAAGGGGTTTAGATAAAAGAAAAACATTTATTCTTAAATATCTGGTGCACCAAGTAACTAATTTTTTAAAATATCTTTATTGAGACATAATATATACAAAGTAAAGTATGCAAATGGACTAATCTTAAGTGCAAACTTAGGATTTTTACATATTTATATACTTTTATCAGTAGCACTCAGATTAAGTTATAGAACATTTTCCTGGAAAGTTCCCAATCAATACTCTGTCTTCAGACTTAACAATGATTCTCATTGCTATCACTTTCTAATGTATTTGTAATCTATTAATTGAATTACTGTTTTAGTATTAAGATCTGAGAAAAGAATATGATCAATGAATTCCAGTCAGTTCCAAGTCTCTGATGCTGGGAATGTGTATGACTAGCAATTTGTGATGAAAATTGGAGGCTCGGGGGCTGGCCCAGTGGTGTACTGGTTAAGTTCGTCTGCTCCACTTCAGCAGCCTGGGATTTGCAGGTTTGTGGCCCAGGAGTGGACCTGCACACTGCTGATCAAGCCATGCTGTGGCAGCATTCCACATACAAAAATAGAGGAAGACTGGCACAGATGTTAGCTCAGGGCCAATCTTCCTCACCAAAAAAGAAAAAGCAAACAAAAATTGGAGGCTCAATAATGCTGACATTTGCCCTGTATCAGATGAGTCTCTAGTACAATAAAATGGTACTGTTTTCATAGGAACATGGCAAAGTTGGAGACAATACTTGTTTTGTCCTCTCCAAATCTTCCAGTTTCCTCTAAACTTCAACTGACCAGTCTTAATAATAATGTTTCCATCTCTCAAGTACATGGATTTGTCATATTTTATTCCTTTCACTTTATAATTTCTACATTCAAGATTTCAGATACCCTAAAAGAGTAATTTCTGTAACGATTCCAAAATTTCTTTTATAGCAATGTATAAATCTATCGAAGTTCCTGCAGCCATCTCTTTATGGCACTTCAGACCAGGAGAGAGATGAAGGAAAAGGGCTCTGACACTGTCCCTTACCCAGAGGGTGACAAGTGATGGATGACTCTGCTTTACCACCCAAGTCCTCTGCTAACTTGAAAAAGGAACACAGCAGAAACATCCCCAAACCAGTTCCTTTTATTCCTCATAATTATGGTCATTTGGACACATTCAGAAAGGAATCAATATTTGCACCATTGAAACCTAATGAGGAATCCACATTACATATGCTTGACCTTTATCCTCTGTGATCACAAAGTCTTAATTATTTGACTTTTCAGCTAGGGCAGGAAATGAAGACAACTCTCAATTCTGGGGCCTTTCAGATTATTCATTCTCTACAAATCTCCTAGATCTTTGTTACTCAAAGTGTGGTGCACAGACGAGCAGCCTCAGCATCACCTGGGAGGTTATTAGAAATTCAGAATTCTGAAATTCTGACCTGAGTTATAATTTGCATGTTAACAAGATCTCCAGGTGATGTGCATGCATATTAGAGATTGACAAGCATTGCTGTGGAACAGATGACGCTAATGCTGCTGGTCTGGAGACCACCTCTAATCTGAAATCTTCAAACTTTGAAGCTTCCAGGAGCTGTTTAACGTTTTCTTCAGAACTCATACCTGAAAACCACATTGAAGAAATACTTACCTCATAAAAAATGCAGTTGTTTCTATTTTTATAAATGAAAGAAAAGTTTAAGCTAAGAAAGAAGATACACTGAGATGGCAAATATCCATCTGGCTATTTTTTCATGGCTTAAAAGAATAAGAGAAAGTTAATATTTTGTGTCTCACTTTAGTGCAGGGATATTGGTGGTAGTGGTGGTGAAGCAGGGATAACGCAGATAAGGAGCATAGGCTAAGGGTAATAAGTAGAGTTTTTGCCTAAAACTTCTACCATCACACATTGTATATTATACCTAACAGAGCTTACAGGCATTTAGACTTAGATTGATACAATTTTAGATGTGGAAAGAAGCCTAGAGACCATCTGGCCAATTCCATTAGGAAATTTGGATCCTGAGAGGTAAATGAGTTGCAAAAGGTCACAGAGCCATCTGGCAGAGCCAAGAGGAGATCACAGATCTCCTGATTCCCAGTCTTGGGTTTCTCCCACTCCATAACGCTATACAGACTTTGACAAAGAGTGTCTGTTACTCATGATCATTATCAGCAAATATTTAGCACTGTGGGCAAACAAAGATATGGTCCATCCTTTCTAGGTGCTGACCATTTACCTGGGGAGACACACTGTTCATATAAACTGCTAACAATTCAAAGTATCCTATAAGTTCCAATGAAGTGACTCTCAGGTGTTGTTGGAGAAAGAAAGTTCAGAAACACTGGTCCAGAAGCAGTGTGCAGGATGGTATGGGAGGCAGGAGGGGAGATTAAAAGCAGGGAGCACCTGTTTGGTTGGACGCTGTTGCAGTAGCCCCGGAGCACGATCATAAGGCTGGAGCTAGAAGGCAGTGGGAGACTTGGAAAGGATGGGGCAGCCACAGCCCTGTATTTTAGAATGGACCCTTTGCCTTGCTCCCTTTACCCTCTCACAACCTGAATGGTCAGAAGGCTCCTGACAACTACTTCCAGATTCAAGTCCCTCCAGACCCAAAATTTGGTTATTTTCTGGAAAAAAAAAAGTATAGTTTTGCAATTTCTTTTCTAACAGAGGAAATCAGCATGAGCTGACTTTCAGAGTGTAAGGACTACAACTTAAGTCTATTTTGTGTGAGAACATTATTTTGCTTCTTAGACATTAGAAAAAAAACATATTCGCTTCCTATCTTCGGAAATGTTATAGGCATCACCAGCAAATTTCTAAGTCTATTTAAAAACCTTAGTAACAACCATTCTCACTTTTATTGCACTCCAGAGTCACAGAGCACTTCCACATCCAGGGGTAGTGATATTATTTCTCATTTTGCAGTTGAAGAAACGAGTCTGGAATACTAAGGGATTTGCCCAAGTCTGTGCAGCTGGTAAGTAAATGGCAGAGCTGAGATCCAAGACTCTTAGACTGTTGCCTCATGAAATAAAAACAAGGTTGGTGTAGACTAATTTGTCAAAGACATTCACTTAAGTATTACTTGGTACCTCTGATATGTCAGGCACGTGGGATTTAGTGAGTGCCTTCGTGGAGACTGTAGCAAGTGAGGGATATAGTCTATCTGTAATTATCTGAGCTAAGAGGGACAACTGAAATTAAAGTTCTGTGTGGGTTTTCTGATCCACAGCCAATAGGGCATAAGAAATTGCAAATCAGAGAAGAGAGATGGAGGAGGGGGAGAGGTAGTAGAAGAGGGAGGATGACAGATTCAAAGGATAAAAAAAGTTTAAAAAACAAAGAAAAGGAGGGGCTGTCCCGGTGGTGCAGTGGTTAAGTTTGCACACTCTGCTTCAGCGGCCAGGGTTCGCAGGCTCAGATCCCAGGCCACTCATCAAGCCATTCTGTGGTGGCATCCCACATAAAGTAGAGGAAGATTGGCACAGATGTTAGCTCAGGGCCACTCTTCCTCACACACAAGAAAAACAAAAACAAAGAAAAGGAAAAAAAGACCAGGGACAAAGCCAATTCTCAATAAATGTTAAGCAGTAAGAAAAGCAAACATCTTTATACTCACAGTCATTCACATGGACACAAAACTGTCTAATTCCATTTGAATCCATGAAAACTCTCGAAGGAAAAGGAGAATTACTCCTGAAGATAAGAGAGTTGTCCACACACACCCAGCTTGAAGACCTGTGAGGAAACAGGATGAATAGATACATTTGGAAGTGGAGGATTAGGTCTAAAGAAGGGTGCCCCACAGAAGCCAGAGAGGACTCCTTGGGCAGCCACAGGATAACATGAAGGTCCTATTCTATGGGACAGCTCTGTTCTAGAGAATCAGAAGAGGAATGCTGTTCCAGGAAAAAAACCAAGGTAGTTCCAGTCCTGGGCGCGGGGGACGGGGGAGAAGAGGAGGCACGAAGACTCTGTCTCTCTACTTCTAAATACTACCTATTCTAGGGCCCCAATCTGCTTTAGGAGTCAACCTGAGCACTGCAGCTCACCTCACACTGCCAGGAAGGCAGAAGGAGAAAACTGTCCTCGGATGGAGAAGATAGCAGTCCCTGTCGCAGCAGCAATTTATATCGCAGGCACCAGGAGTCAAGTCACAGACGCAGATCGGTAAGACTATGAAAGTACAACATAAAGCAGAGCGAATGGGAGGAGGATCCCTAAACTCTCCCAAGTGTTAATTCCCCCTCTGCCGACAGCCCCGCTCCTTACTTGGTGGCATTCAGTTTGTTCACAGAATTTTAGATCTAAGTCAGTAGCTTCCATCCCCACATGCCCTCCCCTCACCTGGGAAGAGGTCCACGGTCCTATTCCCAGGCGCCGAGGGGGTCACCACAGTAGGGCCCACGGTAGAGATCTCAGGCACGGTCCAGTGAGTTTCAGGCCCCTCCGAGGACTGAGGGGTTCCGCCCTGCGTCCTTGACTCCACGGTCGAAGGGGTGGGCACTGCCTCTGACGGGGAAGAGGAGGGCTGAGGCCGGCCGCCCTCGGGGACCATCAGGAAGAGCACCTGCAGTAGCGCGAGCTGCGAGGGGCACATGGGGCTGTCGAGACCCCCAAGGCTTTGACGTGGGTATTGGCGGTCGCCAGAAGCGTCGCTAGAGCGTGGATGGGAGGAGTCGCATCTCATGACGTCATCCGTATGCATCTGCTTATTGGCTCGTGGCTATGGCGGAGAGCTCTTCAGCCAATAGAAAGCGGCATTGTTACAGTCTTTCAGTATCTTGAGGTCTGCGCGCTCCTTCTTAGGCCCGGCCCGGCACAGCTTACGTCGCTTGGCAACCGCCAAGCTGGCGAAGGAGCACTTACCCTTCTCTCCGGTAAGTGGCAGTAGGAGTTCAGCGGAACGCCCCGTGCAGCGGAATGTCCCGCGGACTCCGAGGTCCGGGAGGACTGAGCCCTTCCTTGTTGGAGGGAAACCCCAGAGGCAGGACCTAGAATTGCATCTTTTTCACCCGGGATTCTTAACAGTGAGAAGCGCTTTCTAAGGAAGGATAATGATCTCAGGGAGGAAAATACTCGGAAGGTCACATACCTTGAGGGGGCGGGGGAGGAGCATAGTATTTTAGTGGAAACAAATTGGATTCCGCTCCTTAAATTTTAACATCGAGAAACTTAAAAAAAATTAAAAACATCAATAAATATATGAAATCATTAAACATGGACTGCATATTTGTTACTAGAAAAAATAAAGAAGATGGGTGAAAAATGTGAGAAGATAGAGAAAGAGTAAGGAAAGGACAGACAGATTTTCTCGGAGATGAAGAGAACATAAGATGCAGGAATGGAAATAGCCGTATTTCCCTTAACAAAGGGATGCAGAAGAAAATTTATTTTTTTACTATTATAATCGCCACTTTTTTTTAGCCCTCTTTAGGAAGTTTTGGGTTTTCCCAGGAGTGGTATGCCTCTTCTGATTCTCTATGGCAGGACTGTCCAAAAGAAGATTCTGTAATGTTGGAAATGTTCCATATCGTCACTGTTCATATAGCAGCCATGGGCTATATGTGACTATTGCTCACTTGAAATGTGGCTAATGTGACTGAGGAGCTGAATTTTAACATTTTAATTCATTCAAAGTTAAATAACCACATGACTAGTAGCTACTATGTTGGATGGTACAATTCTAGATGTTCAAAATCTTGCTCCTGCTAAACCCTGTATTTTCCTCAGTCTGCACAGTTGTGACATCTGGGTTATTTCAGTTGCTTGGTTTGGGGATATAAATTAAGATCTGATAAGAGTTATCTGAAATCTAGCACACTTACCTAAAACCTAGCCAATAAGTCCTTTTCCAAGTGAATCACTTAGGCAGATAAACTTTAGGACACCTGACCTTGCTCACATTCCCTGACAAGATATTGATATTCTAATGTGTTGAAGTCAGTAGTTAATTGTATCTCTGTGTTACAAATGTTCTTAAACATATTTTATGTGATTGTGTGATGGACTGCTATAAGAGACATCTATATTTGTGTTTGGGCACACAATATTTATCTACCTTATTAGTGATTTCTGTAGAAAAAGGCCAAGTTCAGATTATTCAAATTATATGTATTTACTAGAATATAAACTGCACAAAACAGAGTGTTGTCTGTTTTGTTCACTGATGTATTCCATGCCTAGAACAGAGCCTAGGACATGTCAGATGTGCATTAAATATTTTTTAAAAGATTGTTTTTCTTGGCTCTTTAGATTTCACTCTTAGGAATATATAGAGTTTATATTTTTTCAGAATTGAATTTCTTTATATAAAACTTCTATTGTACAACCAATCGGAGACTATTTTAGATTTAAAAGTTTGGAATTTACACTGTAATTCTCAATCAGTGGTAAATCAATGATAAATTATTCTTGAATTTATTAACACTGGCAAAAGTTTGTTCATTGAAGTAATTTAAGGGTTGAGTGTAGTGAAATAACATTTCAGGATTTTATTGAGTTGTTTTTTCTTATTTTTGAATTTTAGCACATCATAAATTTTTCAGAATACTTTTTTTCTCTTTTTAGTCATAGTTGAGCAAAAATATTATTTATATTGTTGCTGTTATATGTTTATAGGAATCTCTGTAATACAGAACTCTCAATTCTTTTGAGACCTAATATTAAAATCTGAAAGAAAATTTTGAGGAAAGAGAATGAATTTTATTCACATGTGCCATGCAGATGCAAGTTTTAGCATGAGGTCCAAGTCTTAAATTGAAATAGCTTAATATGACATTACCTCAGAAGCAGAGATTTCCAAATTAGATCCTATGATACTAGCAGCTGTTTGTATTTTGGTATTAAAAGAGTTCAATATGTCCTTAGAAATTTAGCCGAGATGGAATAAAGATGGCAGACCAAGAACAAATTTTAGCCTCTCCTGATTCCTCTCCTCTTTCCAAAATCTCTAAAAATTACATGGATACACACAGTCATGTGCATCCATGCACATACCTTGATACTGAGAAACATGAAGAGGTGCTCCCAATGGACCAGACATTATGAGAATCCTTAAAAAACAGAAGGCAGATGGGATAGGATTGAAGATGGATAAACAGAAGTTGCTTTATAGAGGTTTAATAAAGAAGTGGGAGTGGCTCTTGGGGGTGTCATAAGCACACAGAAAGAAGCTATTAGTATCACTAGGGCCCTTGGACAATTGTGTGTTATTGATTGAGGTACCACTGTAGGAAGAACCAGGTAGATCAGCCTCTCAGCCTTACTCCTACTTGTGCATGCAGTGGGTAGTGGAAGAACTTGCTCCTACAGGGGTCAGAGGCAATCCAAAAGGCAGGACAGTAGCTTGGATAGCTTTTTTTTTTGCTGAGGAAAATTAGTCCTGAGCTAACATCTGTTGCCAATCTTCCTCCTTTTTTGCTTGAGGAAGATTAGCCCTGAGCTAACATCTATGCCAGTCTTCCTCTATTTTATATGGGGGTCACTGCCACAGCATGGCTGATGAGCAGTGTGGGTTCGCGCCTGGTATCTGAACCCACAAACCCAGGGCGCCAAAGTGGAGTGCCCCAAACTCAACCACTAGGCCATGGGGCCAACCCTCTTGAATGGCTTTTGACATCTGGGAGGAAGAGAGGGACCCCACATTTTGCAGACTGGTACTAGCTCACCTTGTCAAGTTACACATCTGACATTCCCTCCTCCACAAATCCTTGAGGCAGAATGAAAAGAGAAAATCTACAAAAAATATAGGTTAAAAGGAAGTATTACCTCCAGAAGAGCAACAATATGCCTCACACCTGATTTTTTAACAAAAATAAGGAAAGCTATAAAACATGGAATAATATCCTAAAAGAAGCTAACCTAGAATTCTATACCTAGCAAAATATCCTTTAAAAATGTGTTGAGAAAACAAAAATTGAGAAAAAAAATCACCACTAACGGACCCACACAAAGAATCGCTAAAGGGATTTTGCAGGAAAGGAAAAATGATCCCCAGTGGAAGCACAGAAATGTAGAGTATAAATTAAGAGCAATGGAAAGGATAAATACAGGATGAAAACATTAAACTCAATTGTATTCCTACATTATAGCAATAATAAATTAGAAAGTAAAATTTTTTAGATAAAATTTATAATGACATAAAAAATTCAATACCTAGGAACAAATATAAAACAGTGGAAGATCTCTACATATAAACCTATATGCTATTTCTGAGAGGAATTAAAGAAAACCTAAAAAAATGGAAGACTTCACCAAATTCATGGCTAAGAAGACTTATTAATGAAAACATATCAGTTCTCCCCAAATTGGTATATAAATTCAGTGCAGTCGCAGTAAAAATTCCAGCATTTTTTTGGTAAAAATTGATAAGCCGATTTCAAATTTTATATATAATTTCAAAAAGCCAAAATAGCCAAGAGAATCTTGAAGAAGAACAAAGTTAGAGGACCTATACCTAATATATATCACCTCTTATTATTAAGATAAAATAATTATTAGGATAAAATGGTATGGCTTTGGCTCCAAGATAGACAACTAGACCAGCAGAAAAGAATAGAATCCAGAAACAGACTAACAGATATGTAGTTACTTGATTTAGGACAAAAGTGATACTGCAGTGCAGAGAGGAAAAGGTGATCTTGTCAAATTGTGCTGGGTCAATTGGATATTCATATGGACAACAGTGTATCTTGACTCCTAGCTACATGTACCCAAACATCAATCTCACATAGATTGTAAACGTAGGTAAAACAATAAAGCTTCTAGAAGATAACATGAGAGAATATCCTTATGATCTTGGGGTAGGCAAATCTTTCTTAAACTGGATGGAAAAATCACTGATCATAAAAATATTGAAAATTTTATCTCATTAAAAGTGAGAACTCCTCTTAATAAAAAGACACTATGAAGACAGTAAAACAGGCAAGCTTTTCAATTTTTTTATTTCAATTTATTTTATAAAAAATAAGTTATGAATATATGTTGAATCATTTTAATGATACTTTTTAAATTAAATTTTTAATCTTGGGCTAAGTGGAGATTCACACAAAGTTGTAGGACATAATATAGAGAGATCCTGTGTACCCTCTTAAGGTAACATACCTGGCAAAAGCGCGGTACAACCAGAATGTTGGTATTGTTACAATCCACCCACATTCTTCAGATTTTCCCAGTTTTAGTTTTATGTGTGTATGTGTGCGCGTGTATTTAGTTCTCTGCAATTTTATCACGTGTTTTCATGTATCCACCACCACAGTAAAGATACAGAGTAATTCCATTACCACAAAGATCCCTCCTGTTGTCCTTTCATAACCATTCCCACCTCCATCCTCCCTTTCCCTCTCTCCAGGATGGATTTTTCAACTATCATTAATTTTTATAATAACCATGATTAAAATAACTAATTTAAATAGTGGTTCACAAGCATTTATCTAAGTACATCAAATAAATGGTGGGTGTCTACATGTTTAACAGAAAATGAAAGTTTAGTAGCTCTGGAGGAATTAATTTCCTTGTTTATTAAGAGATTAACAAATAGTGAATACATTATAGAAGGAAGAAATATGTTTTCACTTTGAAACCTTTTTTTTTTTTAAAGATTTTATTTTTCCTTTTTCTCCCCAAAGCCCCCCGGTACATAGCTGTATATTTTCAGTTGTGGGTCCTTCTAGTTGTGGCACGTGGGACGC